ACAAGTATCATTCACTATAATTGATCAATAGATGTTATATACTATAGAAAATGAACTGCAAAAGCACGTGAGCATCTCAAAAGATGGAAAATTTCAATATACATCCATGCTTTTTAAAAAATACTTAAAAATAGCCAAGTGTGGTGGCATACGCCCGCAGTCCCAGCACTTGGGTGGCAGAGGCAGGCAGGAGGATCTCTGTGAGTTCAAGGCCAGCCTGGTCTACATAGTAAGCTCCAGGCTGGCTGGGGCTACAGGGAAACCATGTTTCATAAAGACTAAAAAAAACAACAACAACAAAAAAAACTTAAAAATAATAAGTTCAAAAGGAACATACCTCAACATAAAAAAGGCTGCAATGACAAGACCACAGTTAATGTAATACTTACTGATAAGAAGCTAAAAGCTTTTCCTCTAAGATCAGAAACAAAGCATGATGCCAATTTTGCCATTTCTGTATAACAGTGACAGAAGTCTTAGCCAGAGCAACCAGGCAAGCAAAAGAAATAATAAACATTCATAAAGGAAAGGAAGAAGTGACACGGTCTGCCTGCCAAAGACACTGCAAATGCTAAAGGCATCACCAAAATAATGTTAGATCTGGTAACAGTTAAAAAATCAGCACACAAAAATCAGTAGCCCTTATGTACACAAAAATTGAATTATCCTAACAAGAAATTAACAAAACTATTGCATTTACAATAGCATCAAAAGTATGTGTAAATTCAACCAAGTTTTGACAAAGTACGCACATGGCTAAACAGCCCAAGCTGGCATTCTCTAATTTCCCTTATATTGAGTGGGATCAACACGACAATGTTCAAAACCATGGCATGAACTTTTGCATCACTTACATAAAAATAAACTAGCTGAATGTGGTGGCTTATGCCTGTAATTCTAGTACTTAGGAAGCACAGACAGGAGGATTGTCATGAGTTTGAGGCCATGCTGTCTACATAATGAGTTTCTGCTCAGCTTGAGCCACAGAGTACAGCCTTCTCCTAAAAAGCAAAATAAAACAAACAAAAATCCCAACTTATGAATTAATTTAAAATGAGAGGAGGATGAGGAGATGGCTCAGCAATTAAGAATGCTGGCTATTTTCCCAGGGGACCTGGTCTGGTTCCCAGCATTCACATGGTGGCTAACAACCATCCTTAACTCCAATTCCAGGGAATCTGATGCCCTCTTCCGGTCCCGAGGGGCATTGTACACCCATTGTGTACTTATATACATGCAGGTAAAACCTTCATACACATAAAATAAAAATAAATAAAATCTTTGTAGAAAATGACAGGAACCTGTCTAGAACCTTCCTCCTTTTTTTCCTAAGGCCTTAAATCTGACTATGGTACAACAAATCTTGTCAACTAGTGACTAGTGTAAACTCCAGAGGAGGCTAGTATTAGAGCAATAAATCAGCAGGGATCTCAGAGAGTCCCCCTGCATCCTACCTTTCCTGGACTGCCTGCTTTAGAATCAGAAAAGGAAATGGAAATATGGTCTCTTACTTCAAGTATGATAATTTTGAGTTTCTTTATTATTATTATTGCAGCCTAGCCACAACCCAACCAAACACAAACAAGTGCCTACTAGAAAGTCCATGTAAATCAAGGAATCCTCTAGTGATGGCTATCAAGACGTGGAGAACAGTATTCTGTCTATAGGGAGGAATGGCAGCCGCTCTTGTCCAGCATGGTCTTTTGAAAATTCAGGCTTAGGGTTTCCAGTTCTACTAACCTAGCAAGAATACATATGATCAAATGAAAATTTCCAATTTGGTAGCATATTGACAAGTAATTCAAAATTAAAAATACATAAAAACTTGCAGGTTCAACCAAAATGCCTCTCCATCAGATTCAAGCCTCAAACTACCAGTTTGCAACCTGTTCTAGATTCAGAGCCAGCACTGAGTATCAGCTGTATAAATACACTGTCAGCTTAACAAAATCTTTTCTAAGGAAAAAAGAGAAGAAACTTTACCACCTTGACTATCAGGTACACTTTGATAACAGACATGTTAAACTATAAAATAAAAATGTATCTAGGGATTGGAAAAAAACCTGTAGTTTATAAGAACACAGTGGCAAATATAAAAAGCAGCTCAGCTGATGACGATGATAGGAAACCACATTCCTCACTCACTTTTAACTTTGAAACAGGAAACAGCTGGACCGTTCTTAAAGCGGCTTCAACTCAACACAGTAACTAGAGCGCTCAAATAGCACACACATATCTAATGATCTGTGCTATTAATTGTGGCTTTTGACATTATGTTCTATGTATTTTTCTTTATTTCAATGTTTGTGTCCACTCAAAAAGAAAGCTTATTCCATGTTATCTTAACGTAAATGCAAGGCACAGGCATGTTTAGTTAATAATTTTTGCCAAGAAGTGGCTTCTGTCATACCACCACAATGTGACCCATTAGGGTCATCAAAGGTAAACTATTTCTGAGTTACAAAATAATTGTGAGAAAAGCAGACCTAGAAGAGATGCCACCCCTCCGTCACCTAATAATACCCAACACTGCTAGTTTTGTCTGCTACTCTTCTTCCCGTCAGTAAGCAAGAAAGCGTTCACATCAGCCTAAGGCAGGGAAGCCTGGGAGTCAGTGAGCACACAATCTGACTCGACCAGTAGCTGTGTAGGATGCTATGCCCATGGATTATATAGCCAGTGCTAGAGGAAGCGGGCAGATACTCCTGCCTTCCTAGTCCTCTGAAAGTCAAATCAGAAAGTTCTGGAAGGGTACTGTTCACTGACCAGTCAATCTTTACTCCCTACTGACAATGCTCTATATGTTGGCTAATCTTCTTTTATTATAAAAAAATAAATATTTTATTTATTGTTTTTATTTTATGTGTATGAATGTATTGCCTGCATGTATATATATGCACCTGTGTCGTGCAATGCCCACGGAAGTCAGAAGAGGGTGTCGGGTCCCCTGGAACTGGAGTTAAGGACAGTTGTTAGCTGGGTACTGGGAACCTAACCCAGGTCCTCTGCAAAGGCAGTAAGTACTTTTAACCACTGAGCCATCTCTCCAGCCCCTATTTTACTTTGAATGATCCAGCTTTTAACATGTGAATGGAAACATTCAAAAGTGACTTTTTAAGTGAGTCATGTGAACTAAAAACTAAACTGAGATAGAAATAAGGCATTCCAGGCTTCCTTGTTTATTTTACC